CCCCCCCCCCCCCCTTTCTTCTCAGAAACCAAACAGAAACTCAACCGAAGGGTTGAAGAGAAAATGGATTCAAATCGCCTACCTAAATAATAACTTCCGGATGATCTAATCACATCCAGAAGAACTTTCGCCGATTCAGCAGACCAGTGGAAACCACAGAACAAGATCCCAATCAAGAAATCGAAACCAAATGGAGAGGAAGAACGGAATTCAAATTCCAAGCTCCGAAGCTATGCCTGAGATTCCGCTACGACCGTGTACGGTCTGTGCATGTAGATACACGTACGTACACACAATTCAAACACCGGAACGATACGTGATCGCGATGAGAAAACGAAGGATTCGATCGGAAAAGAGAGAGAGAAGGGAATCTCGAGTGAGAAATATATGAAATCGATTTTCTGGAAATAGAGAGAGACGTGTACGGTGCAGCGAGAGAGGACGGAGGGAGGGACTCGAAACGCAGTGGAGAGAAATGTTTTCGAAGTCTATCAATTTATGGCGGTTCTACAGCCGTCGATTTCAATGACTTTTCTAATCAGGTGGCACTGTAGTTACTGTGGAACTCGCCGTATGTGATGAAAACCCCTTGGCTAGTTAGACATGACAGCATGCCTTTTGTCCTTTTCCATATTTTAATTCATTTTATTAAAAAAAATGGATGAGATATTTTAAATTAAGTACAATTAATATTTTATCGAATATTTTTCAGATATAGCATGAAACCGGAGTCGAAATCTCAAATGAGTAGATGCATGAAATTATTTTTCCTTTTGCAAATTTTGTCGTTGGAAACGATAAAAGAGATAATCGCGTAATACTCTTAAAAAAATAATTATGCAATATAGATCATATATATATATATGGATGAATAAGTTATGTAGACCCTATATATTTTGTGATATATATATATATATATATATATCACAAAAAGTAGATCTTATGTTATTAATATATAAAACATAAATTATAAATTATAAAATAATCTGAGGAGCTGAACTTATGAGAGGATAAGACAAAAGAGTTGGGTCTGAGTTCAACGGAGATCTCATGATTTTACACAGCTTTCCGTTTGATTTTGACGTGTCGTGACTACTTTTTAATATATATATATATATATAAGAGAAGTGGATGTATATTTATATACGGGTGACTTGTTAGAAACAAAAATACAATATGATTATATTTAATAACAAACTTTTGAAAGATTGATTTTAGGGATAATCGCCGTAAAATATTTGTACTTTTCCATAATCTCAATATAATACATGTACTTTTATAATTATTGAATAATACATATACAATTGTTTTTTTCTAAATAAATCCTATACTTTTAAATTATTGGCCAAAAAATACCTACCGTCAAATAACCGCCACGTAGATAAACGAAAATCCTACGTGGTGGCAAAATTCTCAACATCTCTCATAATCATCGCGTCATGTCATCGCCACGTCAGAAAATAAATAAAAAATAAATAATTAATAAATTAATTAATAATAATAATTAATTAATTAAATAAAAATCATAAAATAAATAATAAATATATATATATATACACATATATGCATATATATATACGTATATAAATATATACATATGTATATAAATATATACATACATATATATACATATATATACATACATATAAACACACATATATATGCCATATATAAATATATATATATATACATACACATAAATATACATATATTACCATATATAA